ACCTCTCCTTGGCTTCAGCTACCACACAGTAACAACCCCCTCGAGTATTACAAGGGCGGCCCTGCAACCAGAGACACCCGAAACCTTCCCCTTCCACAGCAAAGCCAACTAGGAGGCCACGAGGGACCATCTCAGGAATGCTTCCTGGCCGGTAGACTTGTCTTATCTCAAAACAGATGAAGACTGGTTACAAGTGAAGAAAACAGTCGCTCTGGCCATCAGTCACAGTGTGTCAGAGGTAACATATGGATTGTGCACCAGAACATCATGGATGAAACGTGGGACAGACAGGCTACTTAAGAGCAACAAGCAGGCTTGGTTCAAGTGACGTTCACCACATAGGGGGTCTGGCTCTTTGCGCCACAAATGGACTCGCAACTGCTGTAACGCAAGAGTCCGTAGCGGCAGATTTATCGATCAAACAAACCTGGCGGAGATGTCACCAAGTAACCCCGAAAGCCTGTACTGCTTCATGTCGAAAAGGAACTCGACCAGCAAGGGAGTGAACCCTATCACAGATCCTGATGGGAGTGTTCTAAGCAGTCTAGAGGTTGCTGAGCTTCTGAGTTCACACTGACACCAAATCCACGCCGATTCGTTACGACACTGACCAGACCATAAGTAACGAAAACCTCTGCCACACATCAATCACACTGAAAAGTGTCAGAGAAACTATCTGGGCAACTTGGAGGCAAGCCCCTCCGCTGCAATAACCTAAAGCCAGTAATCCACAAAACTGCTTCGAGGTGCTCGCAAAACCGATCCTCAGCCTTCACAAGCATTCAGTAGAGTCGTGCAAACCCCTTAAGATTGGCAACACCCCATCTTGCCACCCATCTTCAAGCGAAGGGACAGAAAAAGTCTTGACAGCTCCACTACAACTACTCTACCCCCTATAGTGTCGAAAGTGTTGGAAAGCCTGGTAACTGACACTACCTGGGAATTACTCAGTAGAGAAAAAGCTGTGCATACGGCTCAGCGTGGATTACGGGGTGGTCGCCACGTGCCACCTACCCACCGACCGCCTGGGAAGACTGGACACTAAGCTGGGATGACAGAGAGCCAAGTTGCTTTTCTCGACCTAGTCAAAGCACTCGACGGTGTTCATGCCACAGTCCTGCTTCACGAGATCATATCAGCTGCTATGAATGAACTTCCATTCTCCTGGTTCAAGGAGTGCCTAAAACGGAGGCAGTTCTTCACTGAAGTAAATAGAATAAGGTTGGAGTGGAGATCATCTATGTCAGGAGTATCCCAAAGAGCAATCCCAGGACCACTTCTGTTTTTCCAGTTTGCCAATGATCTGCCAGACAAAATATCCTCATCAACCCTCCTCTTCGCTGACAACATTAAAATTCCGAGTGTTGTAAACGAGGAAGCTGACTGTACAGCACTACAAAAGGACTTGCAGTGACTCGGACTTTGATCGTCGGAAAATGCCCTGAGCTCAAACCCGGAAAAGTGCAAATTAATGCACACCAGTAAATAGGGGGCAAATACAGCAGGCTTTTGGTACATGTTGAGCGACCGCGCTGTCACCAGAGTGTCCATGGAGAAAGACTTGGAATTCGGCTTCTCTGACGCTTTGAACACCAGCCCCAACTACAAAGATATGACGACTGGAGCGAACGCCATTCTGCACATTCTGCGTAGACAGCTTGGCGCCCTCACCCCCGACCTCTTTCTCCGCGTTTCCAGATCCTGAGTGCGGCAGCATCTAGAGGTCCTCAATGCGGTGGGCCCCATCAGCACTCAAGAAAAACTCTAATCTCTTTGAGAAAATACAAAGAACTGCAACAAAATCAGTCGCGAAGCTAAGGGGGAGGGCCCTTACTCCTCCTCCTTTACGTAAATGATATTTCTAACGTGATAAAATATGGTAAACCCTACCTGTTTGCTGACGACCTAAAAATCGTGTATAGCTTTCCCCACTCATCACTAAGTGAGGGTTTTAATAGAATCCAGGAAGACCTGATGAATTTGTTCGCTTGGAGTGAAACATGGCAACTTCCACTTAACTCTAGTAAATGAGGAATTCTCTGTTTCAATAGCATATCCAAACGTCAGTTTACACCTTGGCGATTCTATGCTGCAATCTTATAACTCAGTACGTGATTTAGGTATTAGGTATTCTCGGAACTTAACATTTACGGAATATGCTCAATCACTTGCCTCCAAGTGTAGGCGCCCAGTTGGCTTTCTGCTCAAATGCGTACGTACCGCTGGGGCCAGACTGCTTTTATTCGGGGTAATGATCCACCCAGTACTTGAATATGGCACAATCAGCTTCAGCAATATGTATGCTTCCGATTGGATACTAATTGAGAATGTTCAAAGAAAGTTTACCCGCTATGTACTGGGCCGTCACGAAGAACTTGATTATGAGGGAAGGTGTAAGAAACTAAAAATTGACCGACATTCGCTAAGACGCCTTGAGCTCAACCGTAGCCTATTTTTCCGCCTTTTGCATGGCATTACTCACACCTGTTGCGCTCCTACTTTTAAGCCTATGTCCTCATATAGTCTACGCAATCGTGAATGCACTGTACCTGTAGAAAAGCACTGCCTTAAACTTAGGCCACGTTCCTTTATGTTACGGTACAGCAAGTTATGGAATAAGCCTCCACATTTTATTCGCCCTGGCGTACTCAGATCTCCAAATGTAAGAATCGGTTTTACTAAAGCCCTGAAGTTCCTTTAATGCAGATGGCCTTACGATTGCATATAAGGGTGTGAATACTGGCTCCTTTCCATATAATGAACTTAAAGAATACTGTTTATCTCTCAAAGCCACTACGGCACACCCCCCCTAAAAAAACGACTTAGGAACCCCATATGGAAGGACTATGTAGTTGACCTCACAAATATACATGAAAATGTACATCAAATCCGAATAAATCAAAAAGAAAAGGGACTTCTTTCTTCTCCAAATTTGATAACGTGATAATCTCTCTTTTATATCTTCTCGTGCCTCTTCTTTCTTTTCCGTCTGCAGAAGCAGCTGCAAGTCGACATTTGATGTTCAAATTCAGTCTGAAAGTGATTACTTTATGGGAATAACACCTGCTCATTGATGCCAACAACTATTGGACTGCTCCCACTCTTTCGCAAATTCTGGACCATCTTCAAGATTAACTCACCTACTGGTCATGACTTTTCTTGCAACCAACCGTCTGACCATTCCCAGCAGTATTGGTAGCAGAGACATTCCGAACAGATTCTTAAACCAGAGACCAGTTAAAATATTGGCTCAGAACGTCACTTACCTGTACCAAGAGACCTTTTCATATGGAACTTGCTACGCATCAAATACACTTCTCGAATGATGCCGCCTTTGCTAATACAAAAGATACCCGAAGTCTATGGGCTATTGACTGTTTCAACATCTATTCTCATCCAATACAACAAGTATTACCAGCAGAATTGATCTTTATTGCCTTAAAACGTAACATGGTGTCCTGAAGATGCATTGATATAGCCATACACGTTGGTTATATAACTGTGGATACTTTATTGATACTCCAGATTGTATAGATGGGTCCTTTGTGGCTAGCAAAGATAAAAACTGAAGAGCATTCTTAGCAATGAACTGTTGTATTACTAACCAGCAAACTATGCAAATGGACTAACAACGCCGGTTGGTTATAACGCGAACTCTGAACGCTGCGCGCTTTTGATATTGATAGTGGAACCTATCTACATGATGGTAGATGGAAATCCATATCCGTCTCATGAATTTCAGTAAATTTAAATAAGATTATACACACTAATGACTTGATATGTAAATTATTTAATACTAGATACCTTCAAAATTTATGAAGTTGACGGTGCTTGTAAACCGGTATCCCTCATGTTAAACTTGTTAAATGAAGACAATATTTACTATTATCTAAACTTTTACGCTGTGTATGCTGTGAAGTAATATTTCCTTGTTCATTCCATAACTAGCAGGACTTTCGGCAGTTTTTAACTGAGTTTAATGACATTCCATCAGTACCACTCAGGGCTCAAATCTTGTAGATATTTTGAGACATATCAACGTGATGAAGCCTGCAAACTGGCTTCCCTCATTTTAGAATCTTTTTTAACGCGAGAACAAAACATTTATTTGTTTATAAGTTAAAATTAACATATAATTAACTTCCTTGTTGCTTGGTGCCCTGTTGTCTGTTTTCTCTATTCTTATTGTAAACAGAATCTTGGAAGCCTGCAATTAGATTGGACCTGCGATATTTCATCAGTACTTTTCTTAACTATCACTGCATCCATCTTCAAGCAGCTCCTATGCAATCCTGCAACCTGCGATGAACATCCTTGTGGTATCACACAAAGATACTTCCTTGGAGCCTCTTGACATTTTTTAATTCAATGTTTCATTGACTGGAGCTGTTCCGTCCATTGCAGCTGCAAGCAGCATATAAAATGCAGAAAAATACTTACAATTTCACCTCCCTCCTACCTACCACTCACTATGTCGCTCCTTAGCACACTCACATTGCCGACTAATTCTTTTCTGGAGAATAGACCTACGCTAACTATTTTTACCTTTCGGGCAACTCCCACATGCTTTTCTCTCTCCTTTATTTCCATTCTTTACCCTCTCCTTTGTTTCCCTTTTGTCTTTTCCTGTTTCTCCCTCTCTATTTCCTTTTTTCTTCCTTTCCTTCATTCTTTTCATTCTTTGCCACCATTCTTCTGTTCTCTCCTAGTTACCTACACAGACAGAAGTCACGACAGTCCCCTAACCCTCCCAGCAACTCGTAGCTCCGCAGTTACTCTACAAGTTACAACTTACTAACCCATAAGTAAACCAAAAGCAAGAAAGCAGAGGGGACTTCCTTGTGAACTGGACGACTGGAACCAAGCCCTAAGAACTAGACGCGAGAGATCGAAAACTATCAGTTTTCTACGCTCGTACTATCAACATTGGATATTGCATGTCAGCGGCTTTCAGAATCACTCAAGGTCGCGAGTTGCAAGTGATCGGGGGATCGGATGACATTTCTTGTTGGTGGAAGGTGAAGGTATGTCCACTTAAGCTGATGGTGGTGCGTTCAGGTTGACGTACTCTCTCTTAGTTTTATTCCCGCCGGTATATATTATTCAGATATGTAGCCTGGATGTCCAGGTTTGTTGCATATCTGTAAGCACTAAACCGCCAAACAACTGAGGGCCTTTGAATCTGAGTTAGATTAGTAAAGCTAGGACTGTTGCACTGTGAGTCAATCAGTGGATGATATGGAAAGTAATGTCCAGTGTGGATAGCTGTGCTTATCCCGAATTCTGATTCTCACTAAAAATCAGGATACTTGTTCGTATATTACTGAGCTGGTTGTGTAGGTAAGCGCCTAAAAATAGTGGATACATCGTAACAGGAGAACCGCTTGGTTTCAGCTTTATGTAAATACCTGTTTTCATCTCATAGTAGGACACTTTCATGCGCAAGCAAACTCAAGTATGAACGGGTGTTCAAACTTCGTGTTGTAGAATTAGCGAACTGCGGTTCCTTGGGTTCTACGTCTGTCTTATTGGAATACGTTCTGAGTTTGGAACGGTCACAATTATCTTTTAAGTTCTGAAAAACCTGAAAGGATAAAGATACGATTAATTAATCAATTTGGTCTCAAGTTAGTATTACTGCATCTGATCTGGGGAAAGCTTCTCGAATATAGCCCATCGGTACCATAGGACTCGAGGTGTGCGTCTAGCCTCCTTTTAAAGGTATCAGGGGATGGGGCTGTAACAACTGCTGAAGGGAGGGAATTCCACAGTTTACAGACTCTAACTACAAATGAGTTAGCACGGATCTTTGTACGTGATCTCTCATGCTCTATTCTTAACGGGTGACCCCTCAAGTCGCGTTTCCGACTAAAGCTTAGAAGGGATCTGTTGGGATGGAGGGGATTATGGGCGATGTGGTACATCATGATCATATCCCCTCTGATCCTCCGGTGTTGTACTGGGTGCAGCTGAAGAGCAACTAAGCGGTCTGGGTACGGTTTGTGCCGTAACCCAATCACTTTCTTTGTAGCTCTTCTCTGTACCCGTTCTAGGATGGCAATGTCCTTTTTCAAGTATGGGGACATTACAAGCGAATTTTTTTTAAATGAGGACGAATGTACAGAGCATACACTGTGGTGAAAAAAGGAGTTAGACACCCTAAGGTTCGCGAGAGAAACCCCAAGATTCCATAAGCCCTATTGGCTGCAAGGCGACAGTGAACAGAGGCTCCTAGTGTATCATTTAGTGTAACTCCCAGATCTTGTTCCATGTTAGAGTGACAGATATTTATTTCACCTAGAGAGTAAGAACTGGGACTGCCTTTATGTTTGTCAACTATCATAATTCGACACTTCTTCGAGTTGAGAGGAAGCAGGTTTTCTGTAGTCCAATTAAGGATTTTCGTAAGGTCCTCCTGGAAGATCGAAATATCCGTTGGTTCCTGTATTTCCCTCCAGATCTTCAGATCATCGGCATATAATAGTGAATGTGAATTAAGGACCCTGGTAGGTCATTGATAAAAGCAAGAAACAGTAGTGGGCCCAGTATGGAACCTTGAGGCACACCACTCAGCATCGGGAACCAATCAGATAGAGAGCCGACTCTAACTGACTGCACCCTGGTGTACAGATAATCTCTAAGCCAGATTAATAATTTTCCGTGTACACCCATGAGCTGGAGTTTCTTACAAAGGATATCATGATTTACCCTGTCAAAGGCCTTAGAAAAGTCAAGTAAACCAATGTGTATAGGCTTTTTCTTCTCGACAGAGAGTGTCCAGCTATTCCAAGCTATCAACAAGTTGGTGTTACATGACCTTCCTGGTAGAAAGCCATGCTGACAGTCGTTTAGGATTGATTTCTGAAGTAAGTGATCACGAAGTGAGTCATTTATGACTCTCTCCATGACCTTCGCAACTGAAGAGATCAGGGAGATTGGTCTGTAGTTGGAGGCGAGTAGTTTGTTTCCACCTTTATAAATTGGGACGACAGCCACCCGTTTCCAATCAGAGGGTAACCTGCCTTCCAGAAACGAGCATTTGAAGAGGTTTGCTAGTGGGGCACACAGAACTTCAGCACACTCCTTGAGTGCTCTTGGGTGAATACCATCGATTCCTGGAGACTTATTCGGGTTCAGTTTCTTTAATATTTCCATAATTACAGAGGGTTTAAACTCTATATGATTTAGTCCCTCTGTGACACGGGTGTCCGACAGAGGCGGGGTTTTGTCTCCCAAATGACAGTTGTTTTGGAACTCATGAGCTAGTAGGTTTGCAACTTCGGAGTTGGAATAGAGAATCTCCAAACTAATGGGGTCCTGTAAACTTAGTGAACTGTTACTCTTCTGTTTCATCAACGAGTACAGTATCCCATGATTCCCCTCCAGGGTTCTACAAAGTTGTGTCTGGTGGTTTATTCTGTCATTTCTGATCCTTACTGAACATTTGTTACGGATGTCTTTATAATTTAGCCAGTCAAAAGGGCTATTAGTGCACCTCCATAGATTCCAAGACGACCGTTTACGCCGTATTAGTTTGCGCGTGCTAGACTTAAGCCAGGAGGAGTAGAACTTGTTAGTTCTTCTTGGGATCAGAGGAGTGTTGTCTTCTATCGTCTGTAGGATTATATTCTTCAACAGACCCCATCTAGCATCAAGATCCAGTAGGTCATCGCAATTTAAGCAAGCGGAACCTTCTAGATCTTGCCGAACCTTCTCGAAATCAGTTCTCTTGTAATTCCTAACTAGAGGCTGATCGGGAACGGGTGGCTTAGATACAGAAATATTGAAGGAGATAACTGCATGGTCACTTAGGCCAAGAGGGCTGAAAACATTCAAGTTGCTTACCCCAATGAACTGATTTGTGAAAATATAATCTAGTCGGGATGCCTTACCGTCAGGCCCCCAGCGAGTACACTGGGAAACATGTTCTGTCAAGGAGTTTTCCAGTAACAATTCCCGAAAGTCTTTTAGAGCAGTAGATGGACTTTCTGTGGTAAAGAGTTGAGGAAAGTTAAAATCTCCCATAATGAGGACCTGTGGGAAGTTCAGTTCCAGGGCTCCTCTAATGGACTGTATTAACATTTTATTTAGCGTGGCATCAGCTGCAGGAGGGCGGTATAAAACTCCAACTAAACACGGACCTCCGCAGCACTTAATGCTACACCAGAGGACATCTTTAATGCCAATTCTATGAGATTGAATCTCATGGACTTTTAAGGAAGGGCAGGTGTAAAGAGCAACGCCACCTCCTGGACCCTCCGGTCTATCCTTTCGGATTAGGCTGAGCTGTCCTAAACGAACTTCCTCGTCTTTTATGTTTTCTGATAGCCATGTTTCACAGAAAGCCATTATGCTAGGACTTTCCTCATCCACTAATAACCTTAACTCAGGTACCTTGGAGCGTAGGCCTCGTACATTGCTGAAGGTACAGCGAATAAGAGTATGAGGGCCGGAGGTCCCAGCAACCGGTTGAGTTAAGCATGAGTTGCCAGCCTTTAAATGGCCGGCTTTGACAAGTTTTTTGATAGGGTGGTGGAACCAAGGGCTACTGTATCCACTGATCTCTTTGACTGAGAACTGGTGCCGGGTTCTTCGATCTGGGACAAGGTCGATAAATACTCTTGCTCATCGTCCAGCCGTTCTACCGTTAGGTGTGCGTTGGCCAACGGTAAGCGCTTGAATCGCTCTCAGTCTGCCTTTGTTCCCTGGGTCTGCACTCGCTTATCTTTATTTCTCTAGGGAATGTATCAGATACATTATACCAGGATTCCAAGGTAGTTCTAACCATGTCCGGAGAGTCAAGGGTTACTTGGAGTAGCCTGGGAGTACGTATAGTCGAGAGGTGAGCCGGCCTTGGAAGACGATTAATTCTTTCTGCCCTCACATCGATTTGGAGTTTGCTGACAATATATCTCCACTGATTTATGTCGTGGATAAGTTCGGCAGTATCGGTACCCGAACATTCGGGAATCCCGTGTATAATTACCGAGCAGCATAACTCTTGAGAGTGAATCTTCTTGCTGTTGCGAAGAAGTTCTCGCACTGACCAGGGTCTATCAGGCCTAATCCTGACGTCAGACAGTTTACGTTTCACCAACTGATGACCTTTCAGAAGGATGTGTTCGGACTGACGTGTACTATCAAGAGATACTCTTAAAGGTCTAGGAGAGCCTTTGGGGGAGAACTTACTACGCGCTAGGCGTTGAAGAGATGGACTGCAGGGAGAGGTTCCTAGGAGTTTGCAAACACTCTTCCATTGGTCAAGGTCATGTTCTTCACGATCAGTCAATAGGGAGGAGCCACTTTCCTGAACGTTGAAGAGTATGAGTGATCTAAGATTGAGGTTATGGTCTGTCTTTTGGAGCTTATTCCAACCTGTGAATACAGACTCAGATTTCTGATGAGCCTTTTGCGAGTGACTCGGAAGACCTGAGGTGCCAGCTGTGGGAGTTTTCTTGATGATTGAAAGAGGCTGGTGGTGAAATGCGGGTGGCTTCCGCCCTGAGTTACAGGTGGTGGGAGCAAGATCTGCTTTTTTCGGAACGTTTTTCGCCTGAGTAGGAGGGGCAATGTTCAGCTTATGGTTCGGCTTCTCATTAGGCTGAGTAGTCGTTACTCTGTCAGACTTACGATCGTTACTTAATGTTCCGTTTTTAACTGAACTGACCTGCCTACATTTCTTCAGACCTTTTTTTCGGCGCTTATCAGGTGTGAGATTCCCATTCATCACTGAGGGGATCGGTTCCAAAGGCATGCTAACGGGGAGACAGTCCGTGACAGTGATGAATTCGCTACTTCCCTTACTGCTAACTTGAGGGATCTTTTTATGGCCATGAGACTTCTTTAGATTGAGGCTGGTTTGTGTAGAGATCTCAGCCGTAAGGTGGTCGGAGTTCTGTCTCACTAGCTCTAGGCCTATTTGGTACTTACTTTTGGACCTACAACATGGACAAAAATACCAATCACCATCAAAAGGGCTATTAAGCAGTGCTTCATAATAACCAGATGGCTGGCTGGAATCACAGGAGCAGTGAGTCCATTGAGAGCAAAGCTCACAACCCATCGCCTTAGCTGAGAAGCTGACATTTCTGCGACAAACTACGCAGACATCCTTTGAAACTGTCATTAGACTGTATAAAGGGTAGAAAAATGTTTGTTCAAGGAGTTATGAACCTCAACACAGTAAATATAACAAACTAATCAAAATTTGTCAAACCCCACTGTCCTTTTTGAAAAGCGCGCAGCACTTGTGTTGTGTAGAGGCATTATATGATTAAGTGTTTACGCATGTTTACGTGTGCAACAACACTGTCTTACTTCATGAAGCTTATATGTGGAGGCTTCAGTATGCTTTACATCATGTAGCAGCCACTTGCTTCCCGTAGGCGTTTCGTCAAGTTTATTAATGTGTTAAATTCTGGAGGATGGCACCATCATGTAACGCCACCGACTAGACACAGTAGTATTCTAAACCTCGTTTTCACCAATGGATTACTGGCTCTCGGTAGACTGCCTCCCATTATTACGTCAGCTTCTGCATACGAAAAACTGTAACTAGATTTTATAAGAGTGCTGAGATGAAATTCAGTACATGACGCGATGCTCAGACTGGCATTCTTATTTCACTAGTTGCTCAATCCACGAATTGTGGTACTTTTATAGTTCAATGAATGTAACTCACGGTCATACTGCTCCAGCAGTACCAGTAGTAAGTAGAAATCTGAAAGTGAGTTTAATCCCAGATGTATGAATCTGAATGCGTAAACATGCCAGAAATTCCCATCGATCTAATGACTCTTCATCCCTCGTCTCAGTAAAAACGGTTCTCCTCCAAACTACTTCCGTGTATGATTTATATGCGTAGCAGACTTTGTGTCCCGGTGACAATTTACGTACTTGGTCGTAGTATACCACTAGTGAAAAGGCACTTATTTTTCATGCACACCCTGCTTTATTGGCTTTGAACCGTTTCTTTTTATGATAGACTAATGACTACGTTAAACATTGGTGCATAGTATTGACATTATCTGCTCACACAGTCAGCACACTACGTACGTGAGAATACGATACCTTTTACAACCTAATTCGACAAGAATGTGGAAGAAAAATAATTTCTGCATCGAAGTCATCATGCGATGAGTAACTTTTGTTTAATACCTTACTATCCTATGCGTACTCGTGGCTATAATGTCTCAGGGTCTTTTTTCTTGCAGCAGTATGGGTCATTTTTTGCGTGATAAATCAGGCTGGACTATAACATGAGTGGACATATAATGGTCATAAGTGTTGCTTAGTGTGTGATACGTGCCAAGGGATAGTGGAGTCAATAATGCATTCACGATCTTAGTGAGCTGAGAGTAGGCTGAAAATATTTTTTTTTTTAACCGCCAACTTTGTTGAAAGTTGCATTGAAACATTTAAAAAAGAAAGTAGAAAGGTGGGTAGATGATGATAACTGACCAAAAGACATGGTGTCAGGGAGATAAACTCAAACTACCTGTGCCCTGTAAGGAAATATTTTTATGCAGCCCATGGCCTTTGCACTAATGATCCTCCTTAAAGTGCAAAAAAGGTAACGATAAATTAACTAAAAACAAATGGGTTGCATTGAGAATGTAGATTCGCTCCACTTACTGTCTCTTCCCTCTCTGTGCCACCATATTGTCCCTATAGCCCCGATATGATAACGTTCAGCGGACAACACCAAGGTCACTCCTCTATCCATGGCTATATAAAGCGTGTTAACCATCATAGCGAAACGCACGAGTTTTATTTAAATGTTCATAACTCTAATTTACTTGTGTACATCAGTTTTCTGCACACGAACGCATGCCTGATTCCATATCCACCCTTCTCCATACTCCATTACGACGTCTATGTCTTCAGCTTCATTTTCATTACCTACCTATTCAACTTCTTTCCATAAGGTAATCTCTAAGCGGTTCGTTTAGTATACTACATTTTTGTAGCCACTAAATGACTGACCAGTATATGTGAAGATTGATGTAGTCCAACGTGGTATTTTGGTTCGTCTATTTTCAGTTTGGCTTGCTGCACGACTTTGTTTCATTTTTCGGGCCTGATAGATCAGTTGTTCATTCAAATGAGATCCCATTAATCTTAAAGGTCAGCGCAAATCATCCAGTGCTGGTGTCCTACATGTTCAGTTGAACATACAACTTACGACTTGGAAACCAATCGGATGGCACTGGAACAGGCAGATCGGAAAGTTAGCCATGTATGGCAGTATATGAACATTCATTGGAGTTTTGTGCTTGACAAAATCATGCATGCAGTCAATGTGTTCTACTTTCAAGACCGAAATGCTCCAGGTTGTTTACGGTAACAAGGAACTACACTCGCAAACTACTTAGGTTGAAGAGACACCTCTGGGTTAAACACAAAAGGACTGGTACCGAATACACTTAGAGACTATTCAAACAGACAAGAAGCGCATGTACTAAAAAACTGAGAGCTGATCAGCAATAGTGCCAAGTTGAGCTTACAAACATGTTTGTTTGTGGCCCGAGAAGTCTGTTTTGCTATGCTGCATCTTTCCGGCAAGCTAAAGTGGAAGTCTCTCAACTTCTAGGTACCAACAGACTGGCTAGTTGACGCAATGAACCAACTGAGCTCCTAGCTGACCAGTATTCACAAATCTTTTCGTCATCATCTACCTACTCAAGAGTTACAAATATCCCACTGACGAAGTTTGGCTCTCGATTATTGATTTAGGTGTTGAGCTAGTACAGCGCGAACTGTTACTGCTCACAAAAGACGCCTCCCTGGAACCAGATAAAATGCATGCGGTGGTACTACGGGAAGGAGCGTCAATCTAGGCTGAACACTTAAGTAAGTTATTTAAGGGTACTATAAGTCAAGGAAAAATAACTGATTCTTGAAAGTTGAGTCACATAACGCTCATCTTCAAAGGAGGTCAATGAAGCAACCTTAAGAAATACTGACCGGTGACAGTCTTATCCATACTCTCCAAAATTATGGACTCGTTAATCTATGGTGCATTGATGGATCGTCTTATAACGACCAGTTGCTTTACGAGTCAACAACACGGATTTAGGAAAGGCTATTCCTGTTATACTAATCTACTCACTGCAGTAGGTGGACTATCACTGTCGACCGTCGAGGTCGAATTGATGTTATTTATCTCGACTTTGCTAAGGCTTTTGATCGTGTTAATCATGACTGATAAGTTAAAATTAATCGGGATAGGACCACCACTCATTGACTGGTTGTCTTCATATCTACGAGTTCGTTTATTTTTTATTTGAGGGAGTCTTCCTGTGTCTGAAGAAACAGAATGTCCTAGTGGAGTTCCCCAAGGTTCAGTACTACCACCCCTTCGTTTTCTAGTATATATAAACGACTTGCCTCAACAGGCCTTTTCTAAAATCTTTCTCCCGATGACGTTAAACTAGGGAGAGAAATCAAAATTGAGAAAGACAATGTTTCCATACAGAAAGATTTAACTCAACTTTAAAACTGGGCAGTCAATAATGGGCTTGCATTTAATCCTGAAAAATGATAGGTGTTACATGTAAAACATGATCCATGTCATTTATATAGCCTCAACGGGATGTAACTTGTGGCGTCACTGACAGAGAAAAATTTGGGCGTTTTAGTCCCTCAAAACTTCAAATCCTATGCTAACAGTGACAGGCGCATTTGGCGGAAAATTGGCGTTAGTGACCTTAGACGAATTTTCAGACAATTCCATCTTGAATGTTTTCACCAAATTTTCAGCAGCTCCATATCGTTTCACCTGAAGTTTGGGACCATCGTCTTTCCCCCTTCTCTGCAGAAGGATATATTAAGCTTAGAACTCATCCAGAGGCACTAGACCAAATCTGTTCAAGGAAGTAGGTCTGAAACATATTGAGAATGACCGTTCAGGTTGGATCTATATCCCTCGAAATATAGAAGACCAAGAGGAGATTTGACTCACAATATTCTGAGTACCCCTGGACACCCACTACGTCGCCTATTGAATCTTAGCTGTGGCACTAATTTTAGAGGACATATAAAGAAACTAAGCCTGGAACATAACAGGTTAAATATCAAGCACAAGTTCTATTACCTCAGAGTTGTTAACCCCTGGAGTGCTCTTCCTGTAGACATGATCCAAGCTGCTTCGTCCGAATCCTTAAAACGTCGGTTGGATACTTATTTGAAATATGGCTTGAATCTGTCCAGAGCTAATTGAATATTCACATTTCAACCGCTAATTTTCCTATCTCTTTACTTGTACATAGGTTAACAGCGACAAGAAGTAGTAATCTACGGATCATATATGCGTAAGCTGGTGAAGGGGTGGCTTTTTGAAGTCCTTCAACAACCATTTGAGCATTTGAAATGCTTTGAAAAAGTCAGTAGTCAACTTTTCTGAACCCCAAAGAACAAACATTATTCTGATATTGTTAGCTTCGGTGTGCTACTTCGGTTGTGGTGGGTAACTATGAACTAGGTAACTGCGGTTATTCCTTGTTTAACTAGATTATTATGAACCAGTAATATGAGAAATTAGGTGATATAGCTGAGAATGATGTCAGTGATATGATTACATTCGCTCAGCACTGAGTCGTAACTATTTTTTAAAAAACCTATTGCTCGCCTCACATCTTTCTTCTGACTTATTGTAACACATTTCCCTTTCCTATATATACATATATATATATATATATATATATATATATATATATATATTTATATATATATATATATATATTTATATATATATATATATATATATATATATATATAGTTTTTGTACCACTGTCCAAATTCTACATTGTCTCCAACAAATAGTTGTTTCAGGTGTCTGGAGTGTAATAAAAATAGTTTAGTATTGCTATTTTAAGCTGTATAAATAGTTTATGATAATTTTACAAGTATTTTCGTCTCATTCCGTTGTTCATGCAATTGTGTTTACTTTCTTCACCGTTGTAGCTTTAGTAACTGATTAGCCTAACAGTGGGTTCGATACTTTGTACATATAAATGAGCGCACATTCTTGTTCTTCAATATTTGAATATCTAAAAAATGTTGGTGTTCATATGCTTGATGAACTATACACTCATCCTCCAACATGTCTAGTTGTTTTCAGAGAACTACCAGAACTTTCAAAACATTTTGTGATGAGACTTTTATTCATTGAACAACCAATTCCAAAGTCTATTGTTTCTGGATGGGTTGAGAAAGGCTCTAGTACACTCTTAGACGATGCGTGTAAAGCTCTAACGGATTTGAGAATTTGGCATTCAACCGATAGTAATGTTTCCAGAGGTTCATGGTCTCTAAACAAAAGATACCAAGAATCTATTCGGGTATCATTATTTGGAGGGTATGTTTTGCTTCATTTTTCTTTATTTGAACTTTAGCGGAAAGCCTTTACTTGGAGATTTAGGCATTGTGACAAATGATAAGTATTCAAAAAGTGTTGAATTTCTAAAGTCTTATGCATGTGAAAGGTGGGACGTAAGTTTTCCTTAACTTATGAAACATAATGCACCCATCCACATATAAATAGGCTTTACTTCATTTTATGGTAGGCTCTGAATCAGCAGAGGTTGGAAGTGTTGTTAAAGATGTACTTTTACTGTCAAATCTAATGAAGTGGTACGTTTAACAGTATCATTTCCATCTTACATACTTTTTTTATTCATGTTTGCCTAATAGTGAAAGTAACGATACTCCAATTGGTATTACGAAGCATGGATTTCACTTCCTTCTAATGAGTAGACAGTCTCAAGTTCTGGTATTCATCTTGCACTATTTTGACTACTTAAAGGTAATTCAACTGTAATGTGTTGCGTTATTCGTTTACTACCTTTTTCTCACTCAATAGGAGAATAGTAAAAATCTAGTTGGTGCCTTACAATTCATCTTCCAGCTTAGTTTCCTGTCTCCCACTAAGGTAAGCTTGATTTGATGTACTAATGTTTGATAAACTTATCCATCCTTATAACAACACACAAGTTCATTCTCTAGGCTGTAAACCACTTTTGTTGTATGATATGGCTCATTGTCAAAACGCGACTAACCATAACTTTCCTATGCAAACCGAAATAGGTGGGGCTTGTTCTGAACTCGTGCTAATATGACAAATAATTCGGGTTTTTTTTTGACCATTTAATCCGGATATTTTAGACGAATCACTGAAGGTAGGATACAGTTTAAAGTAATACCGGTTAATATGCTCAACATTAACTTGTAACAAATACTATGTTCTGTGAATTACAGGAGATAAAAGACTAGAAATCTAAAAAGTCAGAAAATTAATCGGTATTTCAATAAACAAAGGAGTTCAAGTCTTTCCTCTTATTGGTGTTATTAAATTAAGAAATTTGTAACACTGCATATTAAATAAGTTTATTTGATATGGCACACATTGAAAAATTATTGTTCTATCACGGTCTATTGCGTGCAGTCACTTTGATGTGAATACTAGCAATAAATTGTGCTCGAAATATCTTCACTGTATGCTATATCAAACAGACTTATCTAACATAGAGTTATACTATACCACAGTGCTCAAATTCTCCTTGTACAGTAATGGTCACGTTTTACCTTAATCATGATTAGTTCATCCAACTCATAGAATATGACTACCAAAAACCCATCTGAGTTACAAGTATTCTCCACTATCTCAATTCGTTCAATGCAATCCACCTAGAATCTTTGTTCATATTATCCTCAAAAGAAAACGTGTGTAGTAAATATCTATTTTTTACAAGATGACTGGGCATTTAGGCATGTTTCACCAAGGGGAATCCGTGCCTTCAAGTTAACTGATGCTTCCTTAGAGATTTAGATCCAGAGCAACGAACAAAGACTTCCTAAAGAGCGAAATTAACCAGCGAAATTCAGCCAATACTGAGGCTTAGGAAGCAATATTTGTCTCTATTCAGTGACTGGTCGGCAACAAATTCTTTATTTATAATATCTTTTTGAGTAGTTCTTTTAATAGACTAAGCTGTTTGGTTTAAAATGTATAGAAATGTTTGAGTCAATGGTTGAAGAGGTATGTACCAATTCATTGCCATAACTGAGGCAGAACAAAAGTTCCAGTGAAGAAAGTTTGCGAGGATTTTATTTTCATAGTCTTACCATGAATGTAGTAATTAACACTCCGAGATACATCAAAAATATTTGCAATCTTATTTACATAGAAATTAGTTTGATCAGCGGAAAAGGTTTTGGCTCATATACCTTTCATGTTCTTGTAATGATTAAAAATTGTGAATTACAGCTATGTAAGTGATAAAGATCTCATGGCTGACTTGGTAGAGTGCTGAGTTCACAACCTAGGGACAGCTGTTTCAAATGCTTCCACTACCCAGCTTATCATTTTACCCCAGTTGGTTACTTTATTGCATCAGAAGCAACATATAAAGCATTAAAATGATCAAAACATATCAAAGGCTGAAGGTAAAAAGCAGCAACACAAAATTATTAAGTTAATAAATGAAAATGGTTTGAATTTTTTTAAGTATTTATATAAAAATCCTGTAGAACTTATAACTTAAACGTGAATCAGTTCAAGTATGATTAGGTAGTTCCCAGCCGAATGAACAGAATGGTATATTCTTAGCAAGTACAAGGTAGCTGGTTGTCTTTCATAGACGTATTGATTAGTCGACAGTAAGATCAACCAATAAGACGACCTGTAGAAAGCCTACATGAACAGGTTAGGTTTTAAATTATCATATTTTCTGTCCAATCCAAGCAAGGCTTAGTGAACTCAGCTGGTACGCTGTAAGAAGAGATAAGATTATTGACGGAGACAAATGGAAATAACTACCTACTGAAATTTATAAGTCACCATAAAGTGAATGGAGCTTTAAGACATGTGCATTCTATCCCTAAGTAAAGTGTATTCATGAAGCTACTGTACACTGGTGATGCAAATAGCATTATAATCAGACAGAGACTTAACGCTACTATCAAGGAAACATACAACCAAAGTTTGGATAATCGAAACTTCAAGGCCTAGATACTCATCGAAGCCCTTGGAACGGATGAAAAATGAAGTAATACCCAATTGTATTTACCAATCCAAATTTACTTGTGTTCATGTATGCATCGAGAAGATTCTCTGATCACGGAAAGTAAGGACCACGAAACACACCCCAAAGTGGTCTCAGAAGCAAATAGTCACATAACCTAACCATGTCAACAAATGTCCGAGCTACTCAGTCTCTAAAAACTGAAACACACCATAAAATGGATGCATAGTCGTCATTCGCTTCCATTTATACAATCTGTTGGAACTCATTTCCGGGTTTCTCTAAGCGTTAGCCGTCAGGAGGTGTCTAGACTATCTGGATGTTTTAAAACTGTTTATCATTAAACTTTCCATAATAAATTTGGTTTTGATCTCAAGGTTAATGTACTAGTACTTTAAACCTTATTGATCTTCATTGCTATTCTTACCTTCATTATAACCTTCTCATTTGATCTATATTCATTTTCCTACTCCTTAAATCTTTTTCATTTTTTCGCACCAATCCACGTAATAACTACATGTGTAATCAGATTATTCGAAATGTTTTGCACAAGTACATTACGAAAGGTATAAATCTAAGAACATGAAAGTACCATGATGTAGTAAAATAATTAATTTCACTCACCAAAAATTTTAATACATACAGATTAAAAATTTTGTGATAATTCACTTTGATGTATATCGAAGAAAAACTGTGTGTGGATTTGAAATCATTGAAATCGTTTTTTGCTTTTTATTACGTTTCACTTGATATGTCTGCCACCATAACTTATATATCTAATTCATCTGGTCTATGGAGAAATTGTACGCTCATTAGTTACACAGTTCAAAGTTCGTGCTTGGTGAAAGAAAGTGGATAGATTCCTGATAGGCAATTATTCGGAATATTTCAGGCAAAAAACCCTTTGAAGACCTATTCGGATAGTTTTAAAAACTTGTTAGTTTTTAGCAGTGGTTGAAGTTAAATTGTCATTGTATGAACTGTTGAATTGGTATAATCAGAGCCAAATCCAATCGCTAATACTGCTAACCACTAATCTAGGTGTGTTGGCAGTCAAATAGAAATATTGTGGGGGTGATTACAGTCTCATCGATAGTCTGCAAAATGTTTTGGTATAAAGTATTACACTACTCATAAGTAGTCTACTTTATATTAAAGTTTTTTACCGATTCACCATGAGATTTCGTTTTCCTCTTGTTTGTGAGAAATCATCATACCAGCTATAGTTCCCCGAACTAAGGTGTACTGTTCAACTAATTCACTGTTTAGTATTTAAGAAGAAAAGTAATTTTATTTAGAATTTTGTTTGTCCTGAAGTTGGATATGGGGCGATGACGAGATAGATTTCTTAATCGGTTAGCGGTCTTGCCTACATAGTTGACCGGGCACATACTGGTAACTTGTGAGGAAACTTACAATTGGAATAATTATTCGTTATATGCAAAAAGGAGGTACGAACTTGTATGTGTACTAATTTGCTTGGAGGTGGCTAGTATTGGAACCCAGGACTCACATTTCCCACTTAAAACTCGTCAGTTGCACGTACTTACACCACAGTGATCTTATCGCCTCTGACACTCTAACCCAACACCCACCGCTCCAAACGACAAAGCTTTATCCTTTAAGCCACCGAACCACGGGATCCACTCTCGTGTATGACGGGTATCAATTACTGTTGTTTACTGATTATTTTAGTTACAAGTATAAGTAAATAACTGTGTGTATTTTTAGAAAAAAATGCTATTAGGGTAACTTGTCAATTTTTAAATTTCCGTTTTCTTCTAACGAAGTATGTTAAATTTCTTCCGTAAGTATAGTTATTCATACGTAAAATACCATTTGTTTTCCCCACAGTGAGTGAAAAAAGTCTTCGGAAAGTTGACTATTATTTGCCTCTGTAATAATCAAACGTCGTTTTCAAAAAAACCTGCCATAAATTTTATTCTTACGCAACTCAGAATATGGAGTTTGAATAAATTAAATAATGAGAAAGGCACCGTAATGTTTTATTAACATGCGGTGGTATGAAACAGTATTTTCACACTACCAGTAGCTATTACAGTGACCTATGAAAGTGGAGTTCGGAATGTGTTTTCATATGATTTGGAAATTGTAGCAGGACCCACACGTATTCGTGTTAGTAATCCCATTAAAATTGAAATCAAAAGACGTAGTTACTCTAGAAACATGTCACCATGTCACTAAGGTCTGATATTTTTGTGGAGTTCAACTAACTGGACTTAGTAGACAAACTTTGAAGGCATAACTGATCCTTCTGAAAAAAATTAAAATGTTGATAAGCCTCACAAAAAATTCAAATGAAACTCACTTTGTTACGTAATTACTTAAAATCACTATGCGTCACTCATATAATCGTTATGCAAATCGATACTTCTCAAAGTTTTATATTCAGTAATGCTATACGGTGTTTACATAATGTCTACTTGCACATCTATATCAAAGTCTTTTTGAAGTCGGGTTCAACGAAAGTTAATTTTACGGCATGAGCGAGTCACCTATTTATGAGTGACTCCAAAGGCTATCGTAGCAACTACTAAAATGACTAATTATCTCCATGTCGGTTGGAATAGAAGCTTTTTCATGGGAAGGGAACCTAATTGGCTGTTTGGGTGAGTGTTAGGTTAACCTTATAGTTATTCCGTGTCTACTTTCCATACGCTTTGGAACAAACAGAGAATTCTGAATCACTGCAAACATAAACTCACATCGCACTCTGGGTGGATCAAATGAGTTGGCGTAAGTGGGGAATCCAAACAACCGTAGTCAGAAAGCAACCAGGCGGTTCATTTGTGAAAGGATTAGCTTGTTCAGTTCTTGGGGTAGTTGAATAACCTTTTTCAATATTATGTCAGTTGCCTATGTAAATTTGAAGGGTAAATTTGCATGCATATTTTTCAATCAAACAGTTTACATGTGTGCTAAGGGTTTAAACCTAGTTGTTGCATGCATATCTCTGTTCAAGTAAAAATGCAAATAACCTTACTAGGCTTGTCTTTTAGTCTCTCATAAAAGTAGTGACACTGAAGCTGCCGTTGAAATCAACTGCATTTCTTGTTCTGCCGCAATGCTAACGCGCAACTGCTTTACGTCTGTCACTGTTAATATTACACATTATGTTACTGGGCGACAGTCGAATTCAATACGTCTCATGTCACTATATGTATTGCAAACAGTCTTTTCATCTTACTGACTTGTAATCGACTATTGAAAAGCCTTTTCTTCGTCGGAAAAAGTAGGGAATATTTCTAACTAGAAATCTGTTCAGCCAATAATGTTGTCTATCACGATTTGGTCACTTTTCTTTTTCATTGTCTTAAAATAGCCCAATTGTCAGTTAAATAACGTTTAGCAAATCTATGGTTTATTGGTCTATGTGATGGACTTCCAATTATTGTGTCAGATTCGAACTCTACTTCACCTATCAAGATTTGGAAAACCAGGTAGTAACATTATCCCTCACACCATAGGTGTGACTCCACAAATATGCACTAAGTTGCTGAGTGCATTTCGATTTCAATGTTTCTACTCCGACGGCAGTACTTTGGTTCGAGTTGCTCCATTTTTTTCAAAAACGAGACAGATAAACTAACCAAAGTGATCTACAATGAACTAAAGTAATGGGAACAAGTCAGGTTTTACGATCTAAATGTTCCGGTCTTCAAAGTATTATGATGCAAATTTTTCGAATGAGGTCTCACTTAGTTACATGATTTTTATATGAAAGTGCTACATTTGCAAAATGTAGTTTGGTCTTTCTTTTCTCTAATCCGTTCAACGAGATTGGTCAGGATTCGTTATTTTGAAAGAATCAGTTACTGCAAATAAACCTCTTGACTAAATATGCAAAATGTCATCTTTGTCTACCCAATAGATTCCAACTATTTCCGCGGGTAGTGATTACCTATCATACATTTTGATAGATTTTTGGTGCTCAGAAGTTTAGTATATCCATATTAGATTTTCTTGTTTGGTATAACAGACAGTAATTTAGTAAATAATGCTGCATCACTATGTGCTGAATCAGATCTAATGTGTAATTACATTCTGTCACAATACCAAAGCTTTAATCATGGTGAAAGTTTAATACATGGTTGTGCTGTTGTTAATTTGTATTTAAGCGATTCACGCTGTACTGTCATTTGCTTTATCTTTTGTAGAGCTATCCAGTGGATGCTTTAACTACCTCTCAACAAGAAGTGTTACAGCATATGCGAGAACTTGGTTTGACCTATCAGCGAAAGCGTACAGCTCCACATTTCTACGTAACTCCTCTTGCTCTTGATGTAGCCGGGGTCATACTAATTTTTTGGAGAGCAAATCAGGCGGATGGGGTCCGCAGTTGGGAGTGATTCCAACAGGAGTATCTAAATCAGATATCTCAGATACCAGTAACATTTTCTCACAGATAACAGTATCAAATTCTTCTGATGTTGGTTACATTTTGTTAGAAACTAATTTCCGACTCTATGCATACACTGGTAGGCCTTTAAAAAAAAACATCATTTTGCTTTTTGGAGAATTCGATCTTTTCAATTTACAAATTTTTATTATTATGACCTAGGAACCTATAATTTCACATTTTTCTATCAGTCTTGGGATAATTGCTACTGATATGAATTTTTAAGCGTATTTTTGACCGAAGCATTTTTAACTATTCTGAGACAAAACATACTTCGTTTGTGTAGAAGGTTGTAGAAGTTGTCTGAAGAGAACGCGTTTTTTGGAGTGAAGCATACCAGTAGAGTAATTACTCATCAGATAGTTAAATGAACTGGAGTGAAGATTATGAATGTGTCTCAACACAAAATTCAAATGGTTGTGACGTCAGTATTCGTAATTTTGTGAGATTTTATTTTCTTACACTTTTCCTAACCTTCATGGTTAGGCTAACGACAAAGACTTTGAGCTTAGTTGTAGTTAATACAGGTAATTCGGTTTATAACTTCGTTTGCTTCTAAAACAAAAAGTACTTCTTCAATACAACCACAGTAGATGTGTCACTAAAAAGTTATAAAATATACCAACCGGACTAATATATGGAATGGAATTCTTATTCTAAATAATTCTTTATGTTTAAAGGCACAAACAACAAACATTCAAGTCTAACCTGAGGTGATAGGCATTTATACAAAACCAAACAGTTGTTAAACTGTCATCTATCATAATTAAAAGTCGAGTACAATATTGAATAGGGAAGATGCACTTTCGAAGACGACTATATTTATTATCTAAAGGTTTTGACAGGAATAATCCACACTAACAACCAATGAAACACCAGGACAACCATAAACCAGGCATTTTTCAGAGAAATTGCTTAGGTTTTCAATCTTTTGTGCTTTGTGTACGTTATAATTAGAATATTCTACTACTACCTTAAACTGCTTCAGTTCAAAATTTCAACTAGACGGTGGGCTTTGCATATCTCTGTGGAGCTGTGGCTCACTGGTTTAGGCAGTTGGCTTTAGGCCAGGGGGTCATGGGTTCGAGACCCGTTCTACCTATTAAGGTTTGGGCAGTCAGGTAGTAGTGTCATTAACCCTCACACAATAGGTGTTGATCATTGTCTCCTGCACGAATTTGCACAAGGTTGTTGGGTCTATTTCGATTTCGTATATCTAGTTGCTTTGGCATTAAATATTTACTGGTGTTGTGGTAATTACACACAGGACTAATAAAATTGTTTATTTTGAGGTGAGTTGAACTTCGGTCTTCTTTGCTTCTTCACTTACTTTCTATATTTTCTTCCTGTGTTTCGCGTTTCGTTCTCCGGAAGCTCTACCGATTGGTTGATAACTGTACTCGCTTTTCCCGGGGACGTATACTAAATAGCACTTACGTGTTCGTATAAGTAGCTCACACCTCATTGCAAGCATAATTATTCACACTTTATTGATTTTCATGACCATTTTCTTGATATAGCATTTTACTCAGAATGAGTTACTTGCATGAGCTACATCTTCATGAATGTTCTAACCAACTGTCTGACATTTCCCATCAGGCCACCAATGACCATGTCTTATCGACTCCGTTAATCGAGAAGTCTTGCGGCGATATCTCTCACTGAAAGGCGTGCCGAGTACATCACCTTATTGGCGGCTCCCTACTCAAATACTTGTGGGCATGTTAGAGCCCATGGTGAGATGTCCGGGGAGCTGTGCTGGTCGAATGGTATCTGTGAAGGGTGCCCACTCTTTCCATTCTTATTCACTCTTATCGTAAATATTCTTATGAAGGTCTCCCTCTCGTCACCTGACTACATGGAGTTTGGCCTAACCGCGGGAGAATTTTCGTTAGACGTAGAATAACGCAGATGACATAGTCTTGTTAGGTGAAAACGCTGACAGGATGCAGCCATGTGGGCCGATCCAGACTATCCGGTTGGGATCCGCGGGATAAGAGAAACTAGTGGTTGGAGACTCTATGTGATATGGTTCAGAACCGATGTCAGTGGTGCAGGTATATACACAAATTATCCTCATCTTGACGACCCTATACCGAATCTCACCATTTTCTCGTTCTTCCTTTCTCCTTTTAGTACTCTATTTTTTTGGACTGAATTTTCTTTTCATCTTGCACCTCACTACGTTTTTACTGGATGTACTGATATGAGGTATGGCAACTCAAACCGTTACTCAGTAATGCGTGGTCCTGTGTTGATTTGGATGGATGGACCGTGTCTTAAGATGTTCTTCCCACCGCCGTGTAGTATAAACCATATGATTCATTTGGGGCTTTTGGTTGTGCTAGTGAAGATCATTTCAATGGGTCAGCAGAGATTGTATGAAAAATGCAGAAGCCATCGATAAAAATATAAAAACTTACAGTGAAGTCACTTTTGAAAAGGATTCTCCTTTTCAGCATTTGAATGTGTAGCAATCTCGCTTTTTGTATTTCTTCTTGATATTGCGCTTTCTTTCGTCCCGAATTTCTACCAGTCGTTCGTTACCACCTCTTGTTTTTTTTCGATATTGCTTTGTATGCTACTGATATGCATTCACGTCAGTAGCGTGACACATTGTGGAATTATAAGTCTTAGGTTTGCTTTTCCACTCTGGGTGATTTTGCTTAGACAGTACACAGTGAGTTGAGCGTAAGATTCATCGTCTATTACGAGAAATTAATGCATATACTCACGCTCAACTAAGTGGACCTCAGCTAACAAGAAGTCCATCCGATGACTATCCATAATTCTTAAAATGAAGAGCGAAATCGAATAACCAATAAGCATATAGTTTACTTTGTAGACAGTAAATATAACTTGAAATAAATTTAATTGACAGCTGGCCAAAAGTTGTGACTAAATGTGTGTAAAGTGACTGGGTGGATCTAATAACGAAAAAAATACAGGTTCCTTTGAAAAATTTTGTTGACAAAAGAATTTATGAAACTCCACTAAGAGATTCCTGGCTAAGTTGTTTACCTTAACTTTTAACCTTAGTGAACGCAGTTAGGCACTGATATTCTTTGACCTGTCATATAATCACTGCATACCAATAACTGACGTTCCTCATATACTCAAAGTAACATTTTTCTTATTTTGTTTCTCATATCACTATTCGATTTAATCTCATTATCAACCTTCATTGAGTGTGTATAGGTTATTACTTTCGTCAAAAATTTGAGGAACATGCTTTCCTTAGTTTCTAAACGGTTTTCGAGCTATTTTTCTTTCCGTATATTTGTTCTCACAGGGGAATTCGGACTGCAACACTATTATTAGTTGTTTTAACCTAGGAAGAGTGTGAAATACCTTATATATGTTCATGGCTTTGTATTCTGATTCATAGTAGGTCCACTAATGCTTATATCCCACTCACCTTCCTACTTGCAATCATTGTCTTATGGAGTATGTCGATTACTCCTAGCGGTCAGACAACTGTGTAAGTGAATTATTTTCCTTTGATAAAGTCTGCACCTGACAGCTGTAGTGTGAAATAGATATGCTGATTCTCTTCACTAAATCCTTTTGTTTGAGTTGGAAATAGAATCAGCTGGTAGCATAACTTCACAGGTAGGCATTCGTACATTGAAGCTGCTAAATCGTAGCACATAAATGGTTGGACCTCCCTGATTTTCTGTCTTGTCGATGTATCGAGTTGTCGTCCGTTTCCATTACCTGTTAAGCGATTTCTCTCCTACTACCGCCACAGTGTTTCTTTTCTTCCTAACGTTTTAGTAATATTCACTGGACCTTGTAACCGGTTGCACTTTTCTAATAAAGTTGTACATGTTTCCTTTTCTAATGCTTAGCACATTAACTTTCTTTATTTCCTAAAAGTGAAACCTTGCAGTTTCAAGATTTTATCAATGTATAAAGTCTTTAACTATCAATCTAATCTGTTTAGAGATATTGGCGGCTTGGTGATTTGCCCGGAAATCAATTAAATTGGTGCAGGTGTGTAAACTTTATCATGTCCAACATTCTGAACATGTTTAGTAACCTTCATTTGTTTAATTTTCCTCTTATGTATCTCGTTTACTTTGCTATCATTCTTTACCTATTCACTTTCTCTGTGTGTGGTATGGATTTTCTGTGAAGAGTACCTTTATTTGCCTGTTTATCCCCCTTATTTGAAATCATATTCAACAAACGATACTCATAATCAACCGAATTATTTCACTGTTGACTCTATATCCCCACTTCTTCGCTAAAGAATTTTATAAATATTTGGTATTCATGTGAAGAAAAATAGCTCATTGGAGTGAAATGTTACGTTTCTTAAGTTTCAGCACATTATAAGTTCATCGAAATACGGGTTATCTCTTTTTATTTAAACCTGTTCTAATTTTCTAAACGTTCACTTGCAAGGTAGTTGTTATGGTTATTAATTAATAAAGTACAGGATGTATTCTATAATGCGTTCTTTGTTCCCTCATTGTTGGAGCCACTTGTTTATTGGTGGAGCCGCGGGTCATGGGTAATTGCAACCCATTTTCAACCAGTTTGTCACGAGTTTACACGCCACTCCATCTATATTTGCCGGGGTGGCTGAATACTTTCTTTAGCCCTCACACTTTAGGTATGCACATGGTTACTTAGTTGTATTTCACTATATTTGTTGGTTATACTGCTTTGTTTGCAATAATGTTCAATTTTCTTTTCCTTCCTAGACTCACCACTTCGTACAGCTCTTCTCAGCTTATTCAGCAAAATACGAGCACGTTTTCCGAATCTGGTTGTTGCTGACATAACCCGTGATTCAGTTCGTGAAGCATTGATTCGAGGGATAACTGCAAATCAGGTACGTTGCAACAATTAACCCTTTGAGTAATAATTTACTTTATTTTCATAGATTCTCTCCTTTCTAACAGCGAATGCACATCCAGATATGTTGCTCAACGTAAGTTCTAGTTACTTTTTTCTGCCAGTGCGTAGAGTTTCTTTGTTTTTTTCTGTCCTATTCAAAATTCGCAAATGAAGTCTTCATTATTTCAACCCTTTATGTACTAAAAACTACATACATCGTTTTTGTTTTGGCGATGTTTAGCAATTGAGGAAAACTGCAAAAACCATATAAATCGGTCTTAATAACCACAGTAAAGAAAGTGTCACATTTCTAAACAGTGCTGTATGAATTCCAGTAATTAACTATCGATTTCGTTACTAATTATAGGGACACTTCAATGGTCAATAACAAGTTCACAGCAAAGATTTAGTGCTTGTTTGCAGTCGTCGACAAGGCACTTTCTCAACCTTGAGGAAATATATTCCCACTTTCATTGTCTATCCCAGATTTGAACCCGTACTACTCAGCTTTCGAGTGTTAGACATTTATCTTAAACTACTTACGCTATGACTTATTTGTAGGAATACATTTAGTACACAAGTTAACCATCGGATTGAGACCATTGTAATATTCAAATAATTTGTGGTGTTCGGTATTCCATTTTTTACCTTACTCTGTACACAAAATAACATATCTAAATGGCGATCACAGTTTGGTTCGAGCACATGTATGTCTGTGCTTAAAAGAATGTAGAATAACAGTGGGTAGTGCTATCGACGCATCATACAATAGGTGAGATTTGTAGCCTAGTACCACAACATGATTTTCCTTGATAAGCTATATTTTAAGGAATAAGCAAGCAAGGAAAATGCCAAAAATCTTTAATTTATGTATATTAGTTGCAAGAATATGCACTTGATCGGTTTCAACATATGTAGAATACCTATTAGTACATTCTAAAAAGCAAGAAGCTCAGTGAAGACATTTCTCGGCAATCTCAATCTCTACAGGTGTATGACAACAGCCTTATGCTTTTTATACCATTTTATTTTACACTTAGGAACATTTTTTAATTGGTCAACGGAAACCACAAAAAAAAACATGAAGACTGTGTGGATTGCTAATGTTAACTAACAAACGAAAACTGACTTAGTAATCACAAGCATGGGGAAACTGGGGGTTGAATCAGTTTGTTTTCTATGCATCATTCTCACCTCTTTAGTGCAAAGGAACTGAAAATATACTATCTCTTCAAAGTTTACTTTCAATCTCTTGTAATACTCTAATAATCGTGATGAGATGTTCGATAGTTGCATTTCGGACAGATGCATTGGCACCTCTTTGGGTACATAATATAAGTATCCTATACCATATTTGGAGACAGCACTCATCAGCTGATTGAAATACCTGTCTATGCGCGAGCGAGTGAGCTGATATGCGCATGTTAAAGTGATCAGATGCATGAATGTATTCTTCAATACGCTAAAAAGAGTTGGGCAATCAATTGACTCCACCCTCAAAGTTTCTATGATTAAAGTCTAAAATGTACAAATATACGACTAAAACTGTAGAGTGGAGTTATGGCTCATTGGTTTAAGGAATTGACTTTCAACCAGCCAGTCGCGAGTTCGAACACCACTCTACCTACCGGTGTTTGGGCAGCCACGTAGTATCCCTAATCTTCGCACAATAGGTGTGGTTTATTACCTACTGCACGACAGTGCACAAAGTTGCTGAGAGCATTTTGATTTCATACAGCTATAGAGAGTGAAAGGGTAGGGCGCACTGTGCTGCAGTTTGCTCTCTTCTACTGTATGGCTGTGAAACGCGGCCATTAAAGATAACGGACATGAGAAGGCTTCACGAGTTTCACCAGTCGTTTCGTGTTGTCACCACAAGAGTAACGCAGAAGTCAGGCGTAGAGTTTTAAGGAGATGAGGTAAGACAGTTGATGCGGTTGTAAACCTTCACTGACTGAGATAGTTGGGACATGCGTTACGCATGGCTTGTCACCGTCTACCTCGTCACATAATTTTAGCTGAAGTAGGTTCAGGCTGTAAAAAGACTCGGGGCAGCCAGACTAAACCATGGCATCACTGTATGAATTTCTTGACTGTTGGTTTGAGCTATTTTGGGAGATACGGACTTGCCGGTTGGGGTCCAAGTGACAACGGAAGCCAGTAGTTGGAGACTAGGTGACATGGCTCAGGATCGGTGTCAGTGGTGCGGATGTATTCACACATTATCTTATCTTGCATGCTGAATTCTGCATTTTCTCATTCCTCCCTCTCTTTCCATGCATCCTGCTGCTTTTGACTGATTTTTGTTTCTTCATTTTTAATCTTTGCTGCTTGTTGCACTGATATGAGATGTGGCAACTTGGACCATTACACAGTAACCCCTGGTCCTATTTTCATACTGATTGATTAAGAGAGTAAAATCGTTGAACTTCTTGTTCTCTCTAACCGCTTTCAAGTATAGGTACCTAATTTCATTTTATGGATCAAATATAAATCGCGTCCTTATTATAATTGTAATACAGAGTATGTTTTCATCATTTACTTCTTACTTCTGCTACTTCGTTTATTTAGATGCCTATATTACCACCCACCTTGACAGATCAAATACGTTTATGGGAATTGGAACGAGATCGATTTGTATTTCAAGAAGGCTGTCTATATGAACAATTCTCCCGAAATACAGATTTTGAAATGGTTCGGGATTATGCTAAAGTAATTATTGTTTCATGCAGTTCTTCCTGTTGACAATTTTCTTTTCGTTGAAAAGAAATATTTCTTCGTTGACACATGTCTTGTACTTAATTAATTGTTGTTGGTGATTTTACCTATTATATATTTTCATTTTATTTTTAGAGCATTGGAGTTTTACTTTGGGAGAATCCTGAACGACGATTAATGGTTGTTTCTAAATCAGGTCACGAAGATGTGAGGAAATTTTGGAAACACAAACGTCCATCTTAGAAACCAGTCAAGGCCTTTCCATTCATGCTAAATTTTCAATTGTACATATGTAAACAAGAATACTTATCTTTCTTATTGCACTAACTGATAAAGCTTTTTTAATATGCGTGATTTTTAAAAAAATAATCTGAAATGTGATAAAAGGTCATGGACCTGTTTCCCAACTTCTTTGTGATGTAGCTGAGTGCTAACGTTTTTACTATCAGACCTGGCGGTTTTGACTTCTATCTCACCTTATAGTCGTAGATGCACACTGCCGAGGAGGCCTAATGTAGTACAAAACTATTAATCAATGTTTTTTAGCTTTCAATAGTTGTCTGGTTCATATCAATTCGTGGTGAAAACTGCCTTAAAATTAATCACTTTCTCATACATCTATCAAATAAGATAGGTCTACTTATTAATGTAATATAGACACTTGTCTCTGTGGTAGAGGATAATTTCATATTAGAATGGTTTAGTTTATATACCAAATGACAGACATGAAATCATCGTAGAACCTTGCACAGAAAGATATTGGTACTAGTTACCACACTTCATAGCAGCATGCAAACAACAAGTAGGTAGAAAAAGACTGATATAAAAATAGATAAAAGAGAAGGACTTTAAAGTTTAGTTAAAACATTCATGCTTCAGAAGACATTAAAGAGTGAATACATCTGTTCCATTATGACTGGTTTACAGCCACTACCTAAGCTCCTCAACCTCGGATTCCTATCGTCTCGAGGACCCCAACCAGATGGTTTACATGCAGCTCAGATCAACATTAAGAGATTTCATGGACTAGTGCCACGTCTTAGTAGGGCCACCCTGAACCTTCTTTCAACCTAATCCAACTTCCTCTGCCATTGCACCTCGAGGTAGGCAGCGGCTCGGCATGTGCAGTACATGTCCAATCCATCTCAGTCGACTTAGGTTTACAACCTCATCAATCGACTTGCCTGTCTTACTTAGTATTCTTCGCCTGACGTCAGCATTGCTACGAAGACACCTATGGTCAAGTGCGCTTAGTGTCTTGAAGTCTTCTCATGGCTGTACAACAGGACAGAATGGACTGCAGCGCAGTATACTCGTCCTTTGATAGGTGTTTGGATATCTCACCAATCAATGCCATAGTTAACGCAAGTTGACAAGTGTCAAACGGGCCTTTGTATCCGGGGTGGGATTTCGTCAACAGCCAGCCCGTTCGGGCTGATGAAACTCCCCAAGTAAGTGAAGTGGGTTGACACGTCCCACCACTTCCCTATTTTTAAATTGGGGAGTCCTTGGGGCACGCCAGTCTTGGAGCATCATCTTACATTTCACAGGTGCGAAATGCATGCTAAAGATCCTCAGGTTTCTGGTCAGCGCGTTCAGAAGGCCTCGAATTTTGTCACCGTCTTCACCTGGTAGGGCCATGTCCTCTGTGTACCCAATGTCACCCAGATGCCCTGTGACGAGTGAGTCAATTCCTGTGAAATCAGCGGTGCCAAAGGTTATTCCCATCATTACGTTTACAACGAAATTGAACAGAAGCAATAAGAGTGGACCGACACCACTGGTTGTCGTCAATTCTGATGACAACTCTCCGTAAACCCCTACATGTCTGGTAAGCATTACATACTTTATCGGTACTCCCTTCATACTCAGACACTGCCACAACACATGGTCGACGGTTGAATATCGCCTTCAGGTCAAGAAATGTGGCGAACATCAGCAGCCGTTAAGTATGACTGTCTCGGAACCTATGGGAGGGTACACCGTCGTTCAAATCCGAAATCTTGGTTTTCTCGAACTCCAGTTAGGCATCCGATAACTATGGACTATAGGATCTTGGACATGATGTCAATCAAATTGATCCCTCTATAGTTGTCACAAGAAGACCTTTCACTTATTTTCTATGACGATCAGTGAAATACACCAGTGTAAAAGGACTACTTCTGATTCTCATACACTACCTACTACCTCCATCACTTTAATTAGCGATTTCCTACCTCCATCTTTGAAAATATTGATGGCAAACTGTCAGGTCCATCTGCTTTGCATTGTGTCAGGTTTGATACAGCCTTCTCAACTTCAAGGAGAGTTAGAGGACCGACATCTAGGTCTCATTCAGGTACAGGTTGGATGTTGGGCAAATAAGGGGATGGTGTGGGGCAATCGGATTCTGTCTGCTTCAGTATCCCACTCAACGTTCTAGCCACCATTTCTGAGAACTTATCAGGGTGCAATTCTTTTCGATGAAGGTCCCACTAACTACCGTCCTTTTTTGCCGGTATCCCTGATAAGCCTAAGTAATCCCCGGGTATTACCTTATGCTGATGCCTTCTCCATCTCTGGCGATTTCTTCGCACACTAGCCCTCGCGATCATTGCGAACATCCTTAGTTAATATACATTTCAACCGCTTTCGCTCCTCATCGTTGGTTAGAGTTATCTGGAATGAGTCTTCTCGCATCAATCAGTTCGGATGAAGTTGTGGAAGTCCATTGAATTCTTACCAATCTTTTGATGTAGGTAACCAAGTTTCGCAACTGCTTTTCCAAGTGGAGACTTAATACCACACCAGGTTTTATCAGAAATGAGAATCGCTGTCACGTCCAGATAAATGCATGGCTAACACATCGCTAAATACGCACTTGACGCTCTCATCTTTCAATCAAGCCTGAACAGACTTTACTGTGGCCTGTTTCCTGCGACCAGTAAGGCGCAGACACATGTGTCTTTACTAAAGCTTTATACAGTATCACTAATTGGATGCACTTTTGAGCACAAATTGTTGCACATAGCCATCTGAAAGTAATGACAATTTTCAAACTTCTTGTAGTCTGAAATCTTTTTCATTCCTAGTGTAGCAGAATTTTCCAAATGTCTGGTGGATTATTCCTACTATTTGTTAGGCATTGATTTGATAAATAATGATTCAATAGTCAGTCTTCCCCTTCACTTAGTCATTTTGGATTTTAGAACAATCACCCTATAGTGTGGCATGCTTAGAGGTAGCTACGGTTTTCCGTAATTCATTTATCATTCCATTCCTGATTGTGTTCTGATATTCTGACTGAACCCAATCGACTTAATCAGTTTCTTTCACTCAATCATGTCTGTGTGATCTACAGCATTTCACTAAGTTTGTGGGCTTAAACACCACTCTAATCCAAACATTGTCAGGAATTCTACGTGGATTTTTCTACTGTTTTTTGCTATATTGGCAACACTACAGACTATTTAAATTCTGTCTTAGTCACTTTGTAACTATTAGTGATGATGCTGTTTACTTTTAAGTCTGTATAAACTTTTTAATCAACTGCGGAGGATAATTTTTCAGTGGTACTGTTTCTTTGAATAATTCAAGTTCTTTATTTAAATATTCTGACTTACTATCTGGACTGTTAACTAGATTTTTACTCAATCAAGCAATAAATTTTGCTCGGACGGGCTAGTTAAATATCGAATTAGGTTTATGTACAACTAGGCTTTTTTAACTACTCCAAATCATTGGTCATTCTTCGTCTTCTCGATGAAAATAAAGATTAGAAAACCTCAAAATTACCTGCTAAAAGTTACTCACTTGATATCTGTTCGTATACTTCATAAAACTAAATACCAAAGGGTTGAATACTATTCAGAAAATTTAAATGACTTACGGACCAAGTCTTCGTTCTACAGAACTGAGAGAATACACATTAAGGAATCAAATAAGATCATAATTGAAATGTGTAATGTAGAGTTATGGTTATGTGGTAGTTTATGATTTTAAAATAAGAGGCACTTAAGTTCAACTTTAAGGTCAGACTAAAGTGTGAGTACTGTTTTTTTTTTTACAATACTTCAGTAGAAGACATGTGGATCGTCAGTCTTTCATTTTTGTAATAAGATTGCGACTGTTTGGTTTCTATTCCTCATGTTCATTGATTTAATCCAAAGTGGCATAGGTGACGGGGGAAGGACATGTAACGTCAATACAGGAAAAGTTGAGCTGGCAAACACAGTGACTCAGTACATAAACTGATTCTCTGTAAATGTAAGTATTCGTCGTCATAGATTTGCAATTTAGTGTAGTTTTTATCGAGAAACTTCAGAATACAGATTGCAGTACAGTTTTTTAAGACTTTCATCTATGAGACTGGGTAAGGAGCTAGTTCGATCTTTTCCAAAAGTGACAAAGATACTTATGTGATCTAATTTGGAATTCAAAAGCGGACGGTGACACAAAAAGTAATTCTACGAATACTCGTTTCGATTCCTAGATTCTAGGAGAAACGGAAACTGAATAGATTTATATAGCTCTATAACCGATGATGGAAAAGCCAAGTATTTTTGTATACCTAAAGATTTCTACCGGACAA